TCCACCAGATGGTGCCATTGGGTTACTTCTGTCTTGGAGAGCTTGCCTACACTTCTCAATTACCCAGATCTGCAATGAATCTCTCCTCACCTCAGAGGAGTACATGAGCATTTGACTATAATCACCTCTTCGTCAGAGTGTTTGCCTGTTTTGGGTACTCTAGCCCCTCTGAGCTTTGCTGAGTCAATCACTGGTGAATTCATGCACTTACCTCTCCTTTTTTCTTGTGAAACTTCAGCAGGAAACCTTTAGATCCTCTGGGATTTTTCAAGTCCTTCCAGCCCTGGAAGGAAACCTCTCGAGTCGCTGAGAGTTACACAACTCACCTCATCTGAGCTTCAACCTCTTCAAGATTTCCAGTTGACAGTCTGCTCCGCTGCTCCTCTGTGAAACCATAAACTTACCTGTCCGCCCTCCAACGACTCGTCCATCTTCAATCAGCCAAGGCGTCCTCAAACTGGAACCTCAGACCACCCTCCAGCTCAAGCAGTGAGTTTCAACAGAGTATCGGTCATTTACATTTATTCCCCACCAACTTTGAACCCACCTAATATCTCTCTCCTTTGTGCAGTCGCACCTGGATTCCAAGCCGCAGTACCTCCCATGCTGAGAACCTGGTTTCTGTCTCTTTGGTTTAAGATAAAGAAAATACATTTTCAAACTTTGACAATCTCTCTGTAAGTGTATCTGCATGTGGGCAAAAAGTATTAGACCCATCCTGACATCATAACAAATATTGATAGAAAAAAAGTCATGCTGTCTGTATTTATCATGCATATATTCTTTGAATTATTAGTTTATCCTGCTCTTACAACACTTCAAGTGCTAATCTGAGCTTTCAAAAGGCTCAGAGATCATGAGCTTTATCCACCCATATTCAGGCCTCACCTCCTAAATCAGTACAATCATCTAAATGTGGACAACAGACGTTCATTAATGCTATATATTGAATGAAAAGGTTGTTTTTTTTGTGGCTGTTCAGTGACGCAGTGGGTAGCACTACTACCTTGCAGCAAGAAGGTTTGTAGGTTCTCCCTGTGCATGCGTGAGTTCTCTCCAGGTACTCCAGCTTCCTCCCACAGTCCAAAAGCATGACTATTACCGGTAGGTTAATTGGCCTATATAAAATTCTCCTTAGGTGTGACTGTGTGCATTAATGGTTGTTTGCCCTGAGATAGACTGGCAACTTGTCTAGGGTGTACCCCACCTCTCGCCCATTGACAGCTTGAGATAGGCACCGGCACCTCTCACAACCCTAGCAGGGATAAAAGTGACAGAAAATGGATGGATGGATTTTTTTCAGGGGTTAATATTCCCATCCTCCCCATCTTATTCTCATGTCCACAGTTTTAACTGCCATAAAACAAAAGGAAACCAGTCACGGATGAGACCATGCTGCCACACTGGAGCAGATGTCAGAGCTCCAAAATATGTGATATAAGGGGTGGAATGGGGGAAACTCTTCAGCCCGGGAGTCAAATGGCCAGTACTAGCCAATTTTTCCCATTCATCAGAAATGAATTACACCTAAATTAACTTTAAGATTACTTTTGAACTTAACAAAAATATTCCACTGCGTTCAACTGAACATTTTAACATGTGAAAAAACAAACAAAAAACCTGATAACTCTTAACACCAGAGCACCAGTAAGCGCAGTAGAAGTTCACTAGTTTCTGCAGCCTTATTTGTTATCTTGAGTCAGTGGACATGGGAAAGTATTTATCTTTTTGTTTCGAGCTAGGTTTTAGGTAAATGACTAAGCTTACAATATATGCAAGGGTAAAAGTAGATTTAAATACTTGCCAGG